TCGACAAACACGCATCTTAACTAATAAACGATAATCCTGTAACCATCAAAGTGTTTAAGCATCATGTATTATCATGCGTATTTCTGTTTAGAAGAAACCTGATTTGAGTATTACTCAGTTAATTTAACGAATGTTACAAAAAAAAATTTAGAACTTTTAATATAAAATTTTACTCAGTTGATTAACAATACTGTACTGAGTAAGAATATAATCTTTTTTATGATATTAGTTTGTAAAGTTATATATGTAATAGCATATCCATGTTTGTGCGTATAAAAATTTTTTTTTTTTTATGTAGGAGCTTATGTTTTATAAGATGATCAAGGTAAAAATAGAGATAAATTATCTTCCGCTTCTAATAGTATTTATTTTTTAATAACATAATAAGTGACTGTCAAACTAAAAAACATTTAATTTCTTGGGAAATTCAAATTATCTATTATAAACAAATTAGTTTTACCTCTCGTTAGTGATAATAAATGGTTATAATTGTTAAATTAACAGATATTTTTGATATTACAAACTTTAATGATTATCACTAAATGAGAAATTATATTGTTTTTGTAATATCTTTATTGTATTAGTTTTATTATAATTCTCATTGCAAGTAATTATTACATATTAATGTGAGAATATATATTAACATATATTCTTTATACTCACACTAAATATAAGTATGAATTTGAATAGAGTAATACGAATAGTAGTATTATATGATTAAACAAAGATGTAGCGTATGTTATGTTAAGTTAGCAAACATGTGTGTATGGTTGGTGAGATCACAACTACATATAGAGTAATATATCATGTATAGTATACAAATATATATAAAATTTATGCAAATATAAAAACTATACTTCAGGCTTTTAAACTTATAATATTGGGACCAAAAAATTTAATAAATTAAGTTTATAATATTATATTGATAGTTTAAAAGCCCAAAGTATAATATGGTCATTAAATAGCAAATGTAGTAATTGTAATGATAATTTTTTTCTCTTTTCAAAAAAATAAAAAATCGAATTTAAAAATGTTCCAAAATAAAATTTTGATACCTTTGGATGATATTAGTTCTGACGATGAGTTTATGTTATCAAGTAATAGCTTCTTTGACGAAGAAAATGTCTTCGAAGAAAATAATTTTTTTAACTAGGAAAATTTTCTCAAAAAAATAATTCCTTTAATGAAAACTTTGAAAACATCGACATCGATGATACATTTGAAAATATGGTTTCTATAGATTCTTTTTCCTAAGAAGCTTCTAGATCTTCATCTAATATAGAAAATTCAGAAATATTTCTTATAAAAAACTTGACCATTAAAGAAATAATTCATTCATTAACGCCAATTGAATATCCACTAACAAGTGAAAAAGGAATTGCTGTAGTTTATCATATCGACAGGTGGAAAAGTATAAATTCAATATTTGCAGATATAAGATTTTATTATAAATGTTGTATACAATTAATTTATATGTATTATATAAGTAATATATTTTTTTTATATTTTATATCATTTGTTTTTTTAGGTACAATATTCTATAGATAAATCTTGTAGTCAAAATCAGGCAACTTGTTATTGATGACATTGTCGTAACAAAAAAAGAAAAATATGTCAAGAGATTAAGTTGTGCGAATTTGCAAATTCAGAACTTCAGAAAATGCAACATAAATCAGTAGATCTTGATTCAGAGTAAAATTAAAGTTAAATCATGAATTGTCAACCAACAATATAAAAAACAATATATTTGTATAAGTGTCTCAAATTTTTTATTACATTATATATATATATATAATTAACTATATATATGTTTTTATTATTTAGTGTATACTTAGCCGCATATAAAATGAAGTATTATTTTAAAAAGGACAGAATACAATATACAAAAACACCTGTATTAAAATATTTGCACCATCATGATAACACAATATCGCTATCCTATTTTATTGATTACTCAAATTAGCGTAATCAAAAAAAATATCATTGTTTTATTAATAATAAAAACAATGTAGATCTTGATTTGCTTCAACAACTCTGGATGGATCATATGAGGTAAAAAAAATAGATTAGCTACACAACCAAAGTTCAGTAGATCAACCTATTACGATACTGATTTTGGTTAATTTACATTTTGGTTGCTTTTCAATATTATAATTAGAGTAAATCTGAAGAACCAATAAACAATTGTTTTATGGTTTTACATAATAATTTGAAAAAATTTCATTGTTGTAAGTTACTACGTGATACTTAAATAATACATATAAATCTTAAATAATTATAATTTATATATAATTTTTTTTAAATATATATAGCATATCTACATCGTGCAGGCAATATTATTAAGCAAGGGCTAATAATTCGAAAAGCCTGTAATATGAAATATTATATATTAATACCCAATGATCTAAAAACATGCCCGTATATAATTCTTGTATCAAAAGGTATTCATGTGCATCTACTACCCACCTAATCGAGTACCATTTACCATAAAAACACATTTGCAGAATTGATCCGCCAAGCTGATGATAGTACTACTAATATTACACCAACTCAGATTTTAACTGGTATATATATTAATTAAATTTTTTTTTTAATTAATTTTAAAGTTATACATATTGATATTCAATTTATTTTTAGGAAATTTAATTAAAACTTATTTTGGAAGTGAATACCTTGCAAATATATATGTATCATTAAATAATGCAGATCATTTATGATATTATGTAGACTAAATTCAAAAGGAAATTCATCCACAAGGACAAGGTCTTCTTGGAGTTATTTATAACTATTCACGCAATATTAATGATATTTGTGATTATATAAAATGATTAGGTAATATAAAAAATTATACATATATGTTATATATTAAATTTCAATTAAAATTTTAATTTTTTTTTAAAATTTTTCGAAGATGATCATATGATCATAGTTTATACAACTTTCGACCAACTATCAGAATAGTCAAAATGTGAATATTTTTAAATTGACTTATTGTTCAAACAGGTCACTAGTGAAATCAACAAATTTGAGATTAGTAATTATGATACAAGACATAATTTATATAAGTTAATTTATAATAGGCATTCTCTGCTATGCTTTATATGCTTAAGGTTAGCAATTATAATACAAAAGCTATATTTTTGATATATTATAGTTGCGATTTTGGTTTACTTCATTTAGTTTTTATACTGTAATTGAATTCTTAAGAAATTATAATAATTTTCTATAACAAATGCAGAACTATTAGTTTGTTATAGAAAATTGACTGTATTTAATTAAACTTTAGATGCGCATTTATCTAGTATATAAAAAAATAGTTATATTAATCTAATGTACGTATTAATATACTGATTTTTATAAAGTTCTTACCTATATTAGAGTTTTTACTAATCAAGCTATGACAATCGCATACCGAAGAATTTTTTGTGTATTGTTTGATTTTGTATCACAATTAACTGGTTCGTCTTCTCAATTTAAACACATCTATAGAACCGGTTAGAGATATATTATAGCTGATTTGGATTATGCACAGGTTAAGAATCTTGGACTCGTTTTAAGTGAAATTGATCAAACAAAAAATTGGGAGAAGCATTTAACTTATATTTTGAAATCCTGTCAAATACATTATAAGAGGTAATGAAAAAATTTGATATATACACGTGCACTCTAAACATATATACATACGTACGTACGTATGCAAAACATTTAATATATGCAATATGTGCATACAATTTGTTGGTATAACCAAATCGCATATGCACTTTGTGCATTAAATTTGAATTTTTTTATACAGATTATAATCTATATTAATTTTTTATTTATAAAGAAAAATTATGGAAAAAAAATATGATAATAATATAACTAATACTATGCTCGCATTGCTTACGGCTAAATCGGAAGATGAAATTAATCAATTGTTTGATAAAATTCAAGAAATAGAACATTTGGCAGGTTTGTAAATTTTTAATTTCTAAGTAAATAATTTATAATAATATATATCGATATATTAAAATGTATATATATTTTTAGATTGGGTTTCATTTTATCGCCAGAAATAGATCATCGCATCGCTTAATAACTGTGTATCACAAATTGACGAAATGATTTGAAAATTATCTCCTAATAATATGAATGTCGTTGAAGCTGCTCATGCTTTGAGTAATCGATGTGGGAAAAATTTAAAATTAATGGGTGCTATTTTACAGTAATTTTATTTTAAATCATTTTAAATTATTATATTTAGTATTATTGATACATATTAACTTGTTTTGTAAAGTGCGCAAATTGGATAAGAAAAAATTTACAGCAATTCATACTCATTGACAATACAACATACCAAGTCATGGACGTGACAAAGGCTTGATTAGTTGTAATGTTTTATCGAATAAGCGCAGAGGTAAACAAATAATTTAATTATAAATCATTAATTTTAAATCATTAATTTTTTTTTTATTTTTATTTCAATTTTTTTTAAATGTTAGCGAAAGTTTCAAACAAACCTATCAAAAATAAAAAAAAAATCTACAAAAGCTAAGAAAAAAACCTGATGTAATCACTATTAATTCTGAGAATTCAAGTGAAAATGATCGTAAAGAAAGTTCAAGCATTAATAAACTTGAATATCAAGAACGACTTTTAGCACTAAAAGAACGTGAGCTAGCTTTAAGAGAACGTGAAGCAAAGGTTCATTCAATTGAGTTAGCGAATCTGGAAAAAGTGCAAAAATTAAAGTCTGCAAGTTAAAGCCTGAGGGCTTCCAATTGGATTTCACAAATTTTCTGGTGTATTAATTCGAATCCAAATTGGTAAAAAGTTCATAATTGATTAGTTGAAACAACCTTTGTAAATCAGTTGCTATTAGTAGTTACATGTTTTTAACATTATTGACTAGCTATGCTGTATAACTATACAATTTATTTGTATCAATTCTAATTGAAAAGAATTTTTTTTTAGTACTGGTAGATAATTATTCAACAGATAGTTGTTGTATCACTACCGCAGTAAAATGTATTTGTATTATGTAGCACAACGCCTATGTCACCAACTCAAGATATTCAAAAATATTCTCAAAGAACTTATAATTGCATATGAAAAAAAAATGAAATTAATAACGATAATGCACATGATTTTTACGGTTAACTTTTTGTATTGTTATAATAAATTAGACGTGGATGTATGTAATGTACAAGCTTGTAAAAACTTGATTTTTGTTAAAGCAATCTCGTAAAATCTTCGATTTTGTGAGAGCAGTGCATACAATCCCGTAAAAATCCCGATTTTATCTAAATTCTTTTTGGTTCTGTCTCATATCGGTATACTGTATTTTTATTTTTATTACGATAAATAAATTTGGATAGAATTTTCGTGAAGTCACATATAATAAATTCTTTACGACTATACTATTTTATATAATATATATTATGAGTATAGTATACTAGTTTTATATACTCAAATGGGATTTTTGTAGCATACTCTACATCTTTGCTCAATCATACAATACTACTATTCGTAATACCGTTTAAAATGAGATTAAATTAAAGAAATTTGAATATTTTATTTTAAATACTTAAGATTAATAAATATTCGTCATAGTGCGTGTTAAATTAATATGCCATTAACTTGAATATATATTTACGATCTAAAATGAAACTAAATAAAAAAAGCATTCATGAATTTGAATCGTTTAATTACTTAAATTAAGAAATGTTTTTATGGACCAAAAAAAAAATTAATTTCGTGAAGAATTAGTATAATAGACATCTAATTTTTATAAAATGATTTTGAGAATCTCTTGCGGTATGGATGATTCCGCTTTAAAAGCAATTGATTGATAATATATTTTATTAAAAATCGACTATACTGCAAAATATCTGATTTTGAATAAATTAATAGTTATCTTCTCCATAAGGAAAATTAAAAGACTAAAGTCCAATTTCAGTAAAATTCAAATCTATTAATGGTTATTAAAAAAAATTTATTTTTTTAGTTCAGTTTCATCCCAATCGACTCCAAAACATATAGTAATAAGGCTGATTTTTGATAATGTATAAATGCTTTGTGCTTATCTATTTAGCTCCAATTTCAAATAATAGGATTAGTGATCGAACTGAAATCGTGCCATTACGTTAAATAAATATAATACAATACATGTTAATGTAAACAGAAATGCCAATATACGAATTAATAAATATATCATTATAAAAGATATGATATAATGACTTAAAAGTTATATTGATCATATCGATCGATATTGGATAGTTGAGCTTACAAACCTTTGCTTTTTCACATTTGCTACATTTAGATAAATTTAAAAAAGCTAATCGTAAAGGTAACGTTCAACTAAATGAGTTCATTTATTATAGTCATTATCAATTAAACAATAGGATAATTTAATAATCTTTGATACTTAATGTAATGGTGTTGATGAACAGAGATTGAGTGCTCGATCACATACATAATAAATATTAGAGGTGTACCTCTCATGCGATAAACCTAGTATTTGACCTTGCTGAAATGTGAATTTTGAGTTATTAGAATATAAGTTTTAGTGATGGTTTAATATTTTTTTTGTTTTTTTTTTTTTAGTCTAGTTAATTATTTTTATCAAAAAAAAAAATTTGCATTTGATAAATTACTGGTCACTAAGATCTTTATTAAAATTTATTTCGCGCGAGATAGAACATCACATGAATAATTTGATATCAGCGTCTATGTGGACACATCTCTAATCAATATAGTACAGACCGATATTTGAAAATTGATCAAAAGAATTTTCCAGAATTGATTTTCTATGTAAGCAATTATACTGTATTACAATACGTAGTATTTTTGTTACATTTTAAAAAAAAATTTCAACAAAAAAATTCCAAAATATTATTACGGAAAGCCTTAGTGAAATGAGGATCCACGAGGCTGTTTATCTTGCAATAAAACAACCGCTAATTGGTACAAATTCAGCCCAATAGAAGTATTTAGAATTTTTACTTACAGATCTTTGGCTAAAAAAGAGAATAGATTAGTGTTAGTGGGTCCACCAAAATTCAGCAAACCGGCCCGAATTTGGGGTCAGGGATGGGCCGGAGCAAAGTGGCATTAAGCAATAATACTGGCCTACTATATTATAGCAAAATTATCATTTGGGCAGCTTTACTTAGTGCATAGTAGTGTTCCGAATGGACTGGATCGGACGGATATTTTTAAAGATCCGGACCCGATCCGAAAACACAAGTCGGATCCAAATATTAGATCCGGATTCGACCTTTCAGATCCGTCCTTAAAAAAAATTTACTTTCCGTAACTCTCCGATGACCTTGCTCGCCTTTTATGTTGCTTAATTATCTACACTTCCGATTACTTCCG